AGTAAGCAATGCTAGAGGTATCACAACACCCAAGTTCAAACTATACTCCAGAGCCATAGAAATAAAAACAGCATGGCACTGGCACAAAAGCAGATATGAAGACCAGTAAAACAGAAAAGAAGACTCAGATATGAATCCATGCAGCTAAGCCCACCTCATTTTTAACAAAGACAAATGATGGAGAAAAGACAGCCTCTTTAACAAATGTTGCTGGAAAACTGGATATCTGCATGCAGAAAACTGAAACTAGATTCATGTCTTTCACCATGTAAAAGTATCAACTAAAAGTGGATCAAAGACCTTAATATAAGACTTGAAATTTTGAAGCTAGTGCAGGAAAGAGCAGGGAATACACTGGGAGCAATAGGCATAGGCAATGACTTCCTTAATAAAACTCAAAAAGCTCAACAACTAAGAGAAAATATTGACAAATGGGACTATATGAAATTAAAAATCTTCTGTACAACAAAAGAAATGGTCTTTAAGTTGAAGAGGCTGCTCACAGAATGGGAGAAAAATCTTTGCCAGCTATATATCTGATAAGGGATTAATAACCAGAATGTACAGGGAGCTCAAAAACTAAACTCCCCAAAAAATCAATGACCCAATGAAGAAATGGGCAAATGAACTGAACTAAGATTTTTCAAATGAAGGAAGTTCAAATGACTAAAAACACACAAAGAAATGGTCAACATCTCTGGCCAGAAAGGAAATGCAAACCAAAAACAGGTTAAGATTCTACCTTACTCCTGACAGAATGGCTACCATCAAGAACACAAGCAACAACAAATGTTGGTGAGGATCTGGGGTAAAAGGAACCCTATACACTGCTGGTGGGATGTAAGCAAGTACAAACCACTATGGAAAACAGTATGGTGCCTCCTCAAGAAAATAAAAATAGATCTGCCATATGATCCAACAATTCTACTCCTAGGGATATACCCAAAGGAGTGTTACAACAAAGGCACCTGCACACCTATGTTGATTGCAGCATTATTCATAGTAGTTAAGCCAGTGTAATAGCCAGGATGCCCCCCTAGTGATGAATGGGTCAAGAAAATGTGGTATTTATATACAATGGAATTTTACTCAGCCACAAAGAAGTATGACATTTTGTCATTTGCAGGTAAATACATGGAACTGCAGAACATCATCTTAAGTGAAGTTAGCCAGATGAAGAAGATCAAAAGTCATATGTTTTCTCTCACATGTGGAATATAGACCTAATACAAATAGAGCAATACCATGAAAAACAGGCCACACTAAGGGAAGGTCACATACAAGAGGAGGAGGTAGAAGAAGGAAGTTAAGAAGTTGTATACTTCCTATACAACAATGAATATAGAATTTTTAACCAGTTGAAACCACCATAAGAAAGGGACTAAGGTAGAAAGAAGGAAAATAGTGGAGATGAACCAAATCGGGCTATAATATATATAAACCTGGAAGTGCCACAAGCAAACTCCCTGTGTAGCTATCTTAAACAAGCAAAAAGATCATTTTTTCATATACAAAATCAGAGAACAGGAGAGTGGAACAGGTCTTGACTGGGGGGATTGATACCAATGGGGGGGGAGGAGAGGGGGAAATGGTGATGGAGGGTGAATGTGTTGAAAATACTGTGTACACCTATATGTAAATGAAAAAATAAGACCTGTTGAAACTATTCCAGGAATGGGAGGAGGGAGGATGAAAGAGAATGGTGGAGGGGGTGAATTAAAATATGATATATTTAAAAAGAGAGAATTATAGGAGTGGCAAGTAGGTAATAGGATGGCAAATAACCAATTGTGTTTTGTGTTTTGAGAATGGTAGATGTGTTTTCTCAAGATTGATCAATAGGAGAAGAAGAAGGAGAAGGAGGAGGAGAAGAAGAAAAGAAAAATCACTCTGAAAGCAGTGCAAGAGTAGATTGGCAATGAGCATGGAATACATAGACTTTTTGGGTCACTGGAGAAATGTGTGTGTTTGCTACACGGGAAGCAGTTAAGGAGAGGATGGACACTAGGTTTCCTTCTTGTACTTGACTGATCAGGAGCTAAAACAGAAGGCATAGAAGTTGGAGAACCTTGATGAACTCAATTTTGATTTTGCTGAGTTTGTTTTCTATTTAATCAAACGGGCAGAGAATATATGATGAGAAGACAAGAGGAAAGAATAGAATGCTGTGGGCAAGGAAGGCATATACTACACTCTGCTGGGTTTAGATATTTAAGCTTATACTATTTCAATATTTGAATGAATATTAAAATATCAGTAATCAGTAATATGTATCTGAGGACAATGGGTGTTGTTGAATGGAGTGACAAGAAAAAAAAATACAAAAGTGTCTGTGGGCAATCCAAACACAGATGGAATAAAATAAATTGCTTCACATTATGTATTAAAGTTAAAAAGGAATGAAGCACACTCCATGTGCTAAAGACTATATCAGTGTTCAGAGTTTTTACCTTGTTTAATCTTCACAACAGGGCTAGAAGTTTTATTTCATTATCTAAAAATCTTGTTCTTAGAAGTTAAGTAATAGGCCAAATGAAATAAAACCTGTAAATAATTTTTGGGCTAGAATTTAAATGTAGTTGTGTTTAAGCCCCAACCCATGATCTTCCACTATAACAAGAAACTTGTCCAGGGTAGGAGTGGGCAGTTCAAAATACTTTTCTAGAATTGTAGACATTATATTCTTGTTTATTTAGGGCTTCTTGTGGAGTATTTGGCTTCCTAGAAGAAATTTGGAAAGGCTCTATTTAGGTCATTTGCCCCATCTTTACAGGAAGGCACGCCAGTATTGGTATTAATTGAATATTCATTGTCTCCCCATTTTCTGGACGCTATGCCCAGGATGCTATGTTCTGTCAGGATTACAAAGAGGTTACATTTTTTTATGTTAACTGGTAGGCAATGCTCCCCTTTCTATTTTCCAGTCAACATGTTTGCAGGTTGTTTTCAGGTATGCAGGGAATATAGATTTGTTAGCATCTTTCACTTAACGAATACCAACAGATAAACAGCAGGTGTCTTCAGTTCTGTGTCCTCAAACTTACATGGTGTGGTAGCTCCAGCTCCGTTAATTACTAACAAGGGAGTTGCTAAACCTTACACCTGCTCACAAATAAACAAAAGAATGCCTTTCCATCTTCACAGACAATACTGCACGTTATTAGAAGGTTCTTTTGATGATGGTGATGTTCTATACTCTTTTCTTTAGTTCACATATTTTCTTTAGAGTATCCCATTTGAAGATTTTTAAGGTTGACACATTATGCCTACCATCTTTAGGGTTTGAAAGTCAATCTCTGTACAGTACATCTTACTTTACAAACCAACGTCAGTCGAACTAAGCCTTGATAATAATTTTCAAGTTTATCTTCTTTATTAACAAACCTAAAGCCTAATTTTTTTCCTTCAAAGATCTTAATGATGATGACGATGGTTTGGGTCACTAGACTTAATTTTCAAATCTAGCATTTTAACAGTAAACTTCCCACATCTCATTCCAACTCATCAACATGCAGACTGAGGCCTGAATACTACATCTCACAAAACACTAATAACGTGGGTGGCAGCAGGGATTTGAGGATGCTTATGCGATCTGATTCTCTGTTGGATCAGTTAATTTTTTGATTCACCTTTCTAAAACATCCAGACCTTGGTGTAGATTTAACATCTCGCCATTCACGCCATCTAGTGGTTACAAATGTTACATGTTTTGTTCTAAGGAACATTCCTAATGGCTGGGGAAAAACACGAATAACAAAACGGTTGGCCACGACAAATTTCCTGTCTCTCTTCACATCACCTAGCCCTCATATAGACACCCTTAACTTCTGTAACGATCTTTAGATATGCGCAGAGATGCGCGGAGAGGATGAAGGGGACGCACGCGCTCGGAGACTCACGTCCCCTGACGCTGACATTTAGGAAAGGGTTCTGAATTCTGTCATTCGCGAAGGACGGGAAAAGGAGTTGTGGCAAGACATACACCGAGGAGACTGCCTGACTTTTCAGCCAGTTGGATAGATGACATATTAACCCCCGCAACGTTAACATCTGCTTAGAACAAAAAAATAAATAAATAAGAAAGAGGGGCAAAAGCTCTTAAAAATTTCGCTGCGGAGCTCTGCAGGTCTTTCGACCCAGTCGCCCCTAGAAGACAACCAATTCCTGCGCGTTCCGCTCCGCTCACCCTCCTTCCCAGCTCCTCTGGAGTATTTTCCCCCCTCTTTCCCACGCTCGCCTTGAACCGGGACTTGGGAGGCAGAAGCAAGACACCGGTCCCCTTCCTCCACTCCTCCACCAAAACCACCGCAGCCAAGCGAGCGCGTGAAGCTTTCCTTTGTTCATCCGAGGCTCGCTCTCCTAATCGGGCAGAACCACCTGGATGCTTTTCCTCGGTGACATTTTGCGCCGGGGCTGGTGGGTGGCTGGGGTGGAGCGAGAGGAGCCCGAGGGGGTGGGGTGGAGAAAGGTCAAGCAGAGGGAAAGGCAGGAGACGCCTTTCCTAACCTGCGTGGCGGGGCGTGCGCGCGGTTAGTTATTTATTTTCTCCTTATTTATTGATCGCACGAATAGAGCGGCGTGGGGAGCTCGGGGAGATGCAGGACCACCCACTGGCGGGGAAGGAGCGAGCAGTCCTCCCGCGCCCCCACGGTGCGGAGCGCCTCCTGCCTCAGCGCTCCGACCAGAGCCCGTGCGGACCCCGGTCCTGGCCCCGCCGCGCCACCGCCGCCGCCGCCCGCCCGGCCGCCCCGCAGCCCCGCGTCCCCGCAGCTCCACGCAGCTCCGCCCCAGCCCGGGCGACAGCGGCCGCGCAGTAAGTTGGCAGGAGCGAGTGCCCTCGGTTCTCGCCTCCCCCGCACCTTTTGAACTTGTTGCTGCTGCTCGGCTCGACTGCGCCTGGGGTTTTGGAAGGTGAAAAGGAGAGAGGCACGGAGGGATGGGGGAAGGGGAAGAAGAGCTCGCTTGAGCTTTATTTATATGCTCCCTCGGCCCATCGGATCCGGCTGCTCGCGAGCTGCTGCCGCTCCTTTTCCTTTCCTTTTTTCCTTTTCCTTTTCCGGGTGCACGGCGAGGAGAAAGTCTCTATGCAACTCAGCCCCGGCGCGCACTTCACCAGGTATGTACCTCGGGCAAGGCGCCTTCTGCGCGGAGGCAGATGCTGCAGCCGCCACGGCGGCGGCGGCTGCCAGCTCCCGGGCTCTGTAACTGTCACACTGCACCTGAGCTGAACTTGAGAGTGAAGGGGCGATTGGGCGAACGCTTTTGGCAGGCACATACGGTGTTTGTAGACGTGGAGGAGGAGGATCTACATTAACGCCTCCCACCGAGCCCACCGCACATCACCTCCATCTCTGCACATACTGGAGGAGTAGAGCGCCAACCCGACTCCCAGAGACGTGGGGCAGCCGGCTGTGACCGCATCTGCGAAGCTACAACAGGTCATCTTTTGGAGACTCCTTTGGCGGGAAGGGCTACTCGGAAAGAGAAGGTTTGAAAGAACAAAAAGGTAAGGTGACAGAGTTCCCTTACTCCTCAGAATAGCACTGGGTAACTTCTCTTCCTTTTCTCTCTCCTGCTGTACATACTGACCCCTTATTATCCATACTGTCACGGGAGAAATCAAAGACACCTGTTTGAAGAAACTGCTGCCTTTAAAGTCACCTGTGTGTTTAGTTGCACCAGGAGGTGGCCTGGTCCAACTTCTGGTGGAGGTTTGGTTAGATTTTATTGAGGAAAATTGTTAAGACTTTTTTTGTTGTTGTTATTCCAAATACCTGACTGTGAAGGAAACTTGACCTCCTGAAAACTGACTTCAGTAGGAGCCCTACCTTTGAAAAAAGGGTAGTATCTATGAGCTACCTTTCCCGGCATTTTGTTTGCTATTTTGTTTGACTTGAGGAAGTGGTTAAGTTGCTGTTTGGTTGACAACTGTAGCAGTCTGATCACCCTTGTTGTCTCCACTTCAAGAAAATATGGCGGCTGGTGTAGCAGCATGGCTGCCCTTTGCAAGGGCAGCGGCCATTGGGTGGATGCCTGTGGCCTCAGGGCCTATGCCAGCTCCTCCAAGACAGGAGAGGAAAAGGACTCAGGATGCTCTGATTGTGCTGAATGTGAGTGGCACCCGTTTCCAGACATGGCAGGATACCCTGGAAAGGTACCCAGACACTCTGCTGGGTAGCTCTGAGAGGGACTTTTTCTACCACCCAGAGACCCAACAGTATTTCTTTGACCGTGACCCTGACATCTTCCGTCACATCCTGAATTTCTACCGCACTGGGAAGCTCCACTATCCCCGCCATGAGTGCATCTCTGCATATGATGAAGAATTGGCCTTCTTTGGCCTCATCCCAGAAATTATTGGCGACTGCTGTTATGAGGAGTACAAGGACCGCAGACGGGAGAACGCAGAGCGTCTGCAGGATGATGCTGATACTGACAACACGGGAGAGAGTGCCCTGCCAACCATGACTGCTCGGCAGAGGGTGTGGAGGGCCTTTGAGAACCCCCATACCAGCACCATGGCGTTGGTCTTCTATTATGTTACGGGGTTCTTCATTGCCGTTTCAGTCATTGCCAATGTGGTCGAAACAGTGCCATGTGGGTCTAGCCCAGGGCACATTAAAGAACTGCCTTGTGGAGAGCGGTACGCGGTGGCCTTCTTCTGCTTGGATACTGCGTGTGTCATGATCTTCACTGTTGAGTACTTGCTTCGCCTGGCTGCAGCACCTAGTCGTTACCGTTTTGTGCGTAGTGTCATGAGTATTATAGACGTGGTGGCCATCCTGCCTTATTACATTGGGCTGGTGATGACAGACAATGAGGATGTCAGCGGAGCCTTTGTCACACTCCGAGTGTTTCGAGTCTTCAGAATCTTTAAATTTTCCCGCCACTCTCAAGGCCTGCGCATCCTGGGGTACACACTGAAGAGCTGTGCCTCAGAATTGGGCTTCTTGCTCTTTTCGCTCACCATGGCTATCATCATTTTCGCAACAGTTATGTTCTACGCAGAGAAAGGGTCTTCAGCCAGTAAGTTCACCAGCATCCCAGCAGCCTTTTGGTACACCATCGTCACCATGACAACACTAGGGTAGGTGCCAGTGAGGGAAGTGGGATGGAGTTGGATATGGGTGGGTTGCTTGTGAACCTTATTAAGGTTACATGATACTTCAGGGTAATTAACTTTTCTTTCTTTGATGAATTTAAGAACCCACTATCTAAATAATTTAGAAAAAGTCTTTTGATCTGTGAAATGGGTATGGCACAGAGATTAAAGTACTAGGGGATTGCTGGCAAATACTGAGTACTGATGCCAGAAAGTGATAAATACAGAAAGAAATTTTAGAATTCCTGAATTAGGAAATGTTAAAAAAATGATAAACACACATACAAATGCAGTGACAAAGAAAAACAAAATGTTATGCCTTAAAAAATAAATTAATGTATGTGCTGTGTAGTGAGAAGTTTAGAAAGTGCTTCAGTGCATTTAGATTGAAAGTTTCCATTATATATTTAAAATATTATTTTCATGTTAATAAATACTTATGGCATGTATTCTACTTATAAGAATCTTAAATTCTTATTTTACAGTATTACAAACATCTATTGCAGATACTGTGATCAAATGATTTTATAATATGTAAGCACATAATCACACATGTGCATTTTATTATGGCTAATAGATTATATTTTAAAATATTAGAGCTGAAACTGATCAACTCTACAAAATGTAGTAGAAAAGTATTCAAAAGTCTTGGTTTACAATTTTACAAGAAAGAGGCACATGGCCGTCATTCACACATTTTTTTAGAAGTTACAGATCTCATCAGCCAATGGATCCAGGCCCATTGCCCATTTAATCCACATGGAAGACAGATGAGTAGCTGGTGAGAATGGAAGTCACCACAGGCAGGTGCATTATAGAACTTGGGGCCCTAGTTTCCAATCTAGAATACTTTCCTGCATTCTTTTGTTTGGTTGTATGAAGTTTTAGAAACAAAAGGAATATAATCAGAATTTATGTGATTTTTAAAATGAAATTTTAGAACTAGAATTAAGTGTTTTTTTAAGTGGTGAGAAAAAGAACGGTGTCAAGTGATTAAGAATGTTAAACTGTAGAAAAGTAACAGTATTTTATGTATTAAAAACCTAGTAAAACAAAATGTTAGAGCCTTTTACTTTTATGAGTTCTCAGACAAGCTATGGAGATGGGAATGCTCTTTTATCAGCTTTATACGACTTTCTTTGCATAGGTAATCAGCTCAATGAGTAAATGACTATTAGAAAAAAGTTATTCCCAAGGCTGCTTTTTAGGTTTTGTGTTTCTGGCTAATTTAATTGACTTCTTTAAATGACATTGTGGTTAAAGTCAATTTAAAATTTATTAGACATGTTGTGTTGAACAGAATCTCATGTTGTCTTATAGCCAACTAATGGAATATTTTTATGTGATATAATTTCCTAATAATTTAATTAGGAAAATTTGGCAAAGGGAAATATAATATTTATGATTTTTACTTACTCTCATATATTTTTGAAAAACTACTGGTAGATTTTTGAAAGACGAATTAGTGAAATCCACAGCCTAGCGTTTATATGTCTCTTCTAATTTGTTGGAAACTTTGTGGCAGATTAAGAAAAGGATGAGGAAAAACAAAAAAAAGAAAAGGATGAGGAACTCCTTTGCACTGAAGGTGCTTGTGTTTTATCAAAGAAGCTTTGTTTTCTGTCTTGCCTTTGTGTTATTTGCACAATTTGTTAGTGCAAATTACTATCATGACTTTGAATCAGAAGAAACCAAGTTAGGCAGAAATAGAAGAAGAAATATTAAAGAGAAATATATTAAACCATTGGTGTATATAGCAGTGTTTTTTGTAAAGTCTCAATGAGTCATTTTCATGTTACATACTGTGCAGATAATTGAATATAGGTTTTATTAAAATGAATGTTGTTGAACTGCTAATTTCATCTAACTAAAAGTTCTATTCTAGACTTGAGAAGTTAGTATTAGCATTTGTTTCTGGAAATGACTTCCAATCTTTATTTTATTTTGAAATTTGTATTTGTTTTCAGGAAAACATGAGGAAATACTCTTTGTTAGTGGCAACTTTTATTGCATAAATAAAATGCTTATATCTATTTCTTTTTAAAATGATTTAAAAAATGGAATCATAATGCCTGAGCAAAATCTAAGCGGAAGTTTAGTTTGTAACTTCTGTAGGTGAGTGGATTAAAAGGATTAAATACACACACTTTCTCAGAACTTGGAAGCAAAGTGGGAGTTACTTTAAAGTTTCACTGAAGTTGAAAATTTTAAACAAATTAAGTTACTTAATGATTCTGATGGAAAACAGCTGTCATGCTTTTAAAATATAGAATTGTTGATGCAATCAAAATTGGACTATATGTGGAAGTGTACTAAAGTATAGTCTTAGGACAATATCTTTAATTTCTCATCAGAATATAATTACAGCACATTTAAATTTCCCAAAGAAATAGGTTTTTAAAGATCCTGTTTTTTTGGTGTCTTATCTTTGGTTGCATTGAGATTCTTCAGCATTAAGAATAGAAAATATCAACAAAATCCATGTTTCACTTTATTTCTCACACTGCAGTTTTAGAGGATGAAGTATAAACTTTCTGGAAAATGTGAAGTAGTTTCGGCTAGTATCAAGCTGTGTCTGATAGATAATCAAAAATTTTCCATTGTACTTTCTGAGCTCTTTTTATGTGACTAAAAAGTGGTTATCAGAAGTTCCAGCTTAAATAAGCATTATTTACATGACAAGAAATAACCAAGAGCTTTATCGTTCAGGACGGGCAGAATTGTCTGCTATGTCTTAGGTTATGTTAGACAACATCCCATTGATTTGTTTTCTTAGGAACTGTGTGGATCTATGTTAGAACTGCTGTGTGTTCAAATAGTCATTGTTTGCCTCCCGAAATAGCACATGTAGAGTGTGACTTGACCAGGCTTACTACATAAGCAAGTATTTAATCTATCAGTAAAATGAATGTGTTAAAGTACAGTTTTAAGGTTATCTCACTCTATTACTTGAAACATCAAAAGCACAACTAAAAATCAATGAAAGAGAGAATGTCAGAAATATTCTTTAGAAGTAGTGTTTAGAGTGAGTAGTTTGTAGGTTAATTCCTGCATTCTATTCTTTCTTGTAAGCACAGTTACTGACCTGCACAGGGTCCTGGCTACCCCTTTACCCCTTCCCCATCCCCCATTCCCCATTACATAATGTAAACTCTAATTACCACTTTAAACTATCTTGTAGAAAAAGAACAGGAATGCCTTTTTTTGTCATAAAGTTCTTTAAAATATGTCATCCAGTTGATACTTTTCATTCAGATGGTGATATTTAAATGTTGCTAAATTTAGAAAATTTACAAGTGATCGACAATAATAGTAACTGCCCACTTTGTAGACATCAGCGTAACAGAGTAAAGCATCAGTTACCATTGTACCTCACCCACGTGACTTGGGAGTTAGAAGTGATCCCAGGTGACACATTAAATAATTTAAGGAGTTATTATTATGTTAGGCAATATTTGTATTCTTAGTCCTGGTTCCTAGCTGTTTAGACAGTTTTTAAAAGAAGAGATCATACTGCTGATAGCATAAAACTTAAGAATTCAGAAATATCACATCTGTGGTCCACACCACTTTTTAAACTTTAAAACCAAGTTGTATACATCAAAATTTTCAGTATGGGAAAGAAAGCTGGTGTGTGGCATTTTTGGTAAAGATCACATTTAGAATGAAGTTTTGTGATTTTAACTACATACATCATATTCTAATTTGCCAGAAAATGGGGGAAACAGAAGTATTATTTATGTTATATATTCATCTGAAACAAATAAAGTAGAATTATAGGTTTGCTCCATGAAAACTTAGTGTAGGTGTCTACTTTATAAAGCCCTAAAAACTAGTTCTATCATAATATGATTTTAAAATGTTTAGTAAATTACAATTTTAAGAAACAAGAATGTGGGGTCCAGAAATGTAGTTCAGTGGTAGAAATTCATTCTTAGAATGTAAAAGGCCCTAGGTTCAATCCCCAGCACCAAACGTAAACAAAACCAAAACAAATTAAGCCATTTTCTTAGCAATTTTCAATGTATCATTTAAAAGAAGAAATTATTTTTTATAGATGGGCATAATTTGACATGACTTTATCTTATACATATGAAAATATTATAAATATATATTATTAAAAAGATGGCTGAAAATGCTTTTAAATAGCATCCTCTGGCTACCTGTTATTATTTGGATTATACAGCTCTGAGGAGCAATGGGAGTTTATCTTTTGAAAGCATTTATGCGTAGACTTCCAGTTTACCCATCCATTATTAAAAATAGATGGTATTACCTTCTGTACCAGTTTCTATACATAAATACTACTAATGTGTTAATCTGAAAGTCTTTAAAAGGTGAGAAGTACTAAAATTTATCTCTCCGAGTCACACTATGGAAAATACCCACTTTTGTTTTGGCATACTACAACGTATTTATATAACGTTCTTTTTTTTTTATCTGACTTCTAGTTGTTTTTATTATTTTTTCATTAGCATACAGTGTTAGCACAAGGGGGCTTCATGGAATAATGCCATGGATGTGTACAGTGTTCTGTGAACAAGTTAACTCCCTCTATTATATGTTAAGTTCTATATAGAGAACATTAACTAATGGAATTTGAAATGGACTTTTAAAGAAATGTAGAGAAATGTGATATATGTCCATTTTTTAGTATTAAAGGTAACCAAACCTTAAGTGTGTTCATTCTGTTGTAACCATCATTTGAATTAGAAATAATATTTGACAAGGCATTTAAAATATGTGTATTTTTCTAGTACCTAAAACTTAACACGTAGCATTCATTTGAATGCATAACAGAAGAGTGTCAGAAAGAAATAATAGGTATTCTTTCAACATAGTACTGTAGAAAAGGAGAAATTTTCTGATTTTCAGTGGATCTGCTGTGTTGTTCCTTTCTTCTTTTCAGTTTCCCTTTATGTTAATATTTATTTTATTTTTTTAGCTAGATGGTTTAGTTCTGAACTTTCCTCCCAGTTATATTC